CCAGAAAACCGGAAGTGGCGCTGTAGCTCAAGTGGTAGAGCACTAGCCTTGAGCTGAAGAGCTGAGGGACAGCACTCAGGCCCAGAGTTCAAGCCCCACGACTGACAAAAAAAAAAAAAAGAAAGAAAGAAAGATAACTATACATTTCCTGGTGGTCTCTTGGCGATGGAGTTTAAAGTAACGATACTATTCTTACTCCTCATGGATTAGAATCTAGTAATATGCTTCTTCCACTGTCACAGCTAATCTGAAAGAATCAGCCTGTGAAGCGAGAAGGTTAACTTTGGCTCCCAGTTGTTGAGACTTGGGTCTGTGTTGGCGCCATTGCTTTGGAACCTGTGGCAAGGCAGCACATCATGGCAGAGGCATGTGGAAGGGAGGGGGAAGGGCCTAGGGTCCTGCTGCCCCTCAACAGTGTGTTCCTGTGATACCCCTCTGGGCCTGTGTCCTGAAGGCCTTCACACATGGATCCTTGGGGGACACTTGCCATCCAAGTTAAAGCTACTCACTGCTTTGTCCCTCCATGCATCCCCTTACCCTTTTGTTCACTTGTATTTATAGAGCCGGCACTTGATCTGTGTGGTCCCTGTGCAGTATGCTAAGAGAGCCAGTCCCACCTTCTAGGAAATCCTAGAGCACTGAAGAGAAATGTAGTTCTCTGCAAACATAATCACCATTTGGATGAGTAAACCCAGTCAGCTGTGTCCTTCCTGCAGGTGCAGACGGCAGGGGAGGCTCGGCGCAAGGCCTTCCTGCTGCCACCGCAGCCTGCCAAACAGTTCCTCATCTCCCCGCCGTCATCCCCGCCAGTGGGGTGGAAGCAGAGCGAAGATGCAATGCCCATGATCAACTACGACTTACTCTGTGCTGTCTCTAAGCTGGGGCCAGGTAACCACTTCTCCCCTTCCTATGTTTGTCTCCAGTGCCATGAGTGATCTGGGCAGAGCCGGGGAGAATGTGGTGAGCCCAGGTTCAATCTAAACAAGAGCAGATTCTACCTGAGAGCAGATTCTGGCCTGGTGGGCACACACAGATCCTAGTCTGGTGTCTTCTGGCCAGCTGAGCCTCAGCAGCTTGCTTAGACATGGTTTTCTCAGCCAGGTTTATTCTTTATTTCCTGTTGTGTGTGGTTATAAGGATTACACAGTGCACTAGGAGTTGACCCAGGCAGTCCGTGAATTTAAGTTGTTTCCCCTCCTGGCCTTTCAGGTACCAAGCAGGTGACGACCACTTGTAATATATTTCAAGGAATTATTCATGGCATCAGATCTTGCCTCCCGTGTCTTCGTTTCTTATTTTCCTCCTCTTTCCTTTCTCTACTTCTCTCATCTTTTAAGATAGCCTGACACGCTGATGGCCTGCTGGCTGTTGCTGGTTATCTGCCCAACACAGACTGTCTCCTGTAGCGGACTTGAGAGAGAGGCAGTTGAGAAGTGGCTTGGTGTTTTTAGACATTAGAGCAGATTTCAGATGTCTGAGTTCCCAGACTGAAGAGCCAGCCAGAGCTGCCTCCAGCCATACCAGCTCCTCCCGAGGGAAAGTGGAAGCATTAGAAAATTAAGCAGGTCCACGCCCGTTATCCATCCAGCTGCAATTAGCATTTATACTCAACTCCCAAGAGTCTGGAGGACAGACTGAAGAGTCTCAAACTCCAACACCAAAGCAAGATAAAGTTACATCAGAGCATGTGAAGCTGTTTCATTTTATTAAGTACTTGTACAGCAAGGTTATGAGTACAATGCCAGTTGATCGGTGTCACCCCTTCCCTTGCTCTCTCCCATTTTCCCTTCACCCCTACCCTCAAGTAATAGTTCAATGTTTCTATGATGTACGTTGAATATAGTGATGCATTTGTAGTCGTTCACATAGTGAATTGTTTTTTAAGTCCTCACTGTAAAATTAAAATGGTATTTCCTAGAGACCAGACAGTTCTTCCTGCCCCCCGTGTGAGCCTTTGCCCCTTTCTTCTTCACCCTCACAGGGGAGAAATATGAACTGCACGCGGGGACAGAGTCCACACCCAGCGTGGTGGTTCACGTCTGCGAGAGTGAGACCGAAGAGGAAGAAGATATGAAAAACCCCAAACAGAAAATCACCCAGACGCGGCGGCCTGACCCTCCCACGGCGGTGCTGAGGGAGCAGCAGACCTTCCCCTGCGCGCTGTGAGCTGCGCTGCCCAGCACTGCCCGGCCGCCGCTCTGCCTGCAGCTGCCCGGCCCTCCAGCCTCCTATTGATGCCCACTGCCGCAGGGTGCTCATGCTGCCAGGGAGCCAGGCTGGAGCCTTCACCAGGCCTGCGCAGGAGGAGTAGCAGGTGGTTTGGAATTCCACTGGTTTGGAATTTGGAGTGGTATTCTAAATGGCACTTTAAATGAAAGGATCAGCCCCTCCTCCCCCCCCCCCCAAAGATGTGTCAGCTCCAGTCAATAGCAGATTAGGAACATGGCTTCCCATCTCTGCCCTCTCCCTCTAGCAATGATCTTAAATTCTCCTGAGACCATACAGCATGGGTACCCAATCCCAGATCCATAGCACCCAGGCACTTCCATCTCTACGGATTTTAAAATATTCCTACAGTTTTAATCTGGTGTGGGGTGGTTTATACCAGCCATGATAGCTTCTAACTAGCACATGGATCAAAGGTTAATAGTAATTCAGTGTACATGATGTTTTTTTTGCATGAAAAGAAACCTGAAATGCAGAATAATTTCTATCACAAGTATCTCTTTCATTACATTGGGGAAGACATGCCAAATCTACTCTATCATAAGTAAGGCACAGATCAGAGCCCATCCTCCACCTGGGTCTCAGGAAGTGGGGAAGTGTGCACACAGGGCCTGTGCCTCCCTGGCCCCTCCTGAGCTGGGCTCCCTTAGAAGAGCAGGCCCACCACCAGGAGGCGTGGCTAGCTTTGACTGCCATGGGTGACCATTTCTACCTGTAGGGACACAGGGGCAAGCGGTCCTCACTCACCAGCCTTTGTCCCCACCTCCTCCAGCGTTAACTGCTAGTTTTTGAGGTTTTTCTATGCTATGCGTATATTGGTACATGACTTTCATAGTTTTCAATTAGAGAAGATAGTGAGAAGACAAAACTTTTCCATTGAAACATTTCCAGCCTGCTTGGAAGGAAAAGTCATGGGACTATTTTTCTATGAAATAGGGGATTATGACAGGTAGATTGCATTTTTCTTTCTGATGCAATATTTTTACCTAGGCTTAAAGTTGGCACTTTCCCTTCAAACAGATGGTTTTCCAAATCAGGCTTCAGAAAGTGTTATTTGAACCTCTTTGAGTAGAACAGCACCTTTGACGCTTTGTGGTCTATTCAGATTCTGCAATCCCTCTTACGGTAAAACCCTAAGAAAGCAGCTGCCTGCCCCTTCAGCTGCAGCCAGCACAAAGAAAATGCAGAGAAAAACCCAGACGCCACGATGTCTGTGTGTTCAGTAACATGCTTTGTGATTGATTTACTTCTTGTTATGGTAGAGTTTGTTTCTGAGGATTCAAATGATACTTTGCTCAGAGGAAAAATAGCTTTCTTTATTTTCCTTGCCTTCAGAAAACTTGAGGGGGCAGGGAATGTTGCTTAGTGGTAGAGCGCTTGCCTAGCATGCATGAAGCCCTGGGTTTGATTCCTCAGTACCACATACACAGACAAAGGTGGAAGTGGCACTGTGGCTCTCAAGTGGTAGAGTGCTAGCCTTGAGCAAAAGAAGCCCAGGGACAGTGTTCAGGCCCTGAGTTCAAGCCCCAGGACCAGGACGAGGGGAACTTTTGAGATGAGTAATTCTTCTGGTGGCTTGTGTTTGCCACTGGTGATCCTCAGTGTTAAGTTCAGTTGAAATTTATGATACATCTAATGCAATTAGTTCAGACCATCATTTGTCACCTTAACCCACAGCTACTCGGTATGTTTATTTTACAGTTCTTTCTAAGGTGGGCTTTATGATAGCCAGGTTGCTGTCAAACCCCGGAGCTCAGTCAGTCCTCCCCAGCAAAGGACTCCAGATGCATACCCTTGCATCCACTTCTACTCCACAGCTCTAAACATTCTCTCTCTCTCTCTCTCTCTCTCTCTCCCTCCCTCCCTCCCTTCCTTCTTCCCTCCTCTGCCCAGCCTAGGGCTTGAACTCAGGGCCTGAGCTTCTTTTGGTCAAGGCTAGTGCTATTCCACTGAGCTCTACCACAGCTTCACTTCAAGTTTCGTGTGTGTGTGTGTGTATGTGTGTGTGTGTGTGTGAGAGAGAGAGAGAGAAAGAGAGAGAGAGAGAAATTGGAGATAAGAGTCTTACAGACTTTCCTGCCTGGGCTTGCTTAGAACCTCAATCCTCATCTCAGCCTCCAGAGTAGCTAGAGTTACAGGTGTGAGCCACCAGTACTCGCTTGCTTGCTTGCTTCCTTGCTTCCTTTATTTCTTCCTTCCTTTCTTTCTTTCTCTCTCTCTTTCTCTCTTTCTTTTATTGCATGATAGACCCTAGCTGCCAGGAAAAGTATATGCTTTCAGTAGTTATGAAATTTTGAAATTCCTATTGTATAACATTTATTCACTATAATTTTCTAAGTGATCAAAACGCACGGTATTTTATATTTGCTTAGCTTTCATTATCTGCCAGTTAAAGAGCTGGCAGAACATTTTCTGCGGAAAATGGCTCAGCGGTAGAGTGCATGCCTACGATTGCAGATCCCAGTGCTACCAAAAACATTCCTAATTTCTTTAAGGCAAGTAAACTACTGAATTAAAAAAAAAAAAGAAATTTTGTAGTCGGGAATAAATTGAAGAAAACTTTAATGAAAAATTGTGTGAATCTGTATGCATATGTGTGCATCATATGACAATATACACATGTGTGTACATGTACATGCATAAGTATAAATGTACATGCATATGGAGAGTTATTTAAACTTCTGGATAGCAAGTATTAATATACTGTCTTTCTAATATAGTTTTCCTTAAGGTGAATTCTACAAGAAAAACTACTGGATACTCCTAACTTTTTAATGCTTAATCCATCAGGATCTCAAGATCTCTGTCTGCTTTGACTATTTTATATCCATTTTACAAGAGATGAGTGTCCTATATCTTTTTAAAAGTTCTTACATTTTTCTTCTCTGTAGTGGGCTTTATTTCAGAATTAACTCTGAGAGGAGAGCAGTGTGATTTCTTTAGCACTTGGAGCCTCTTCCTGGGAATTGAACCATGAGTTTGGGAGGCCTGGTGATGGTACTCAGTGTTAGGAAGACATGGCTGGACAGGGAAAACAGATGCCCAGCCAGGGCAGCTGCAGAACTGCAGTGCATCAGCTCAAAGCCTCCGTTCAACTATTTGAGCACGCCCGTGGATGAAAGCAATGGCAGCAAGTAGGCATCCCTGTCAGCAGGTGGGAGGCCTCAGGTGCCAAGGGGCACAGGAGGTGGAAGCTGAAAGCCAGAGGGGATGAGATGCCCATCTTTTACACCGTCTTCAAAATGCCACACGTGCAAACCGTCAGTGACTAAGAACACATCATAGCTCCAGTGTGGAGGTGGTGATGGACGTCTGTGGCCTGTTTGAATTGAGGAGATACAGGAGATGGAGCTCAGGGGCAGAACATCCATTCTTTAATAGTACAGCCCTTTTTGTTTAATGTTCCAGTTAAGTACAGCATTTAAAGATGCTGTGATTAGCTGGGCATTGGTGTCTCATGCTACTCAGGAGGCTGAGATCTGAGGATTGTGGCTCAAAGCTAGCCCAGGCAGGAAAGTCCATGAGACTCTTATCTCCACTCAGAAAGTGGGAAGTGGCGCTGTGGCTCGAGTGGTAGAGCACTCGCCTGTCATGACAGGCATGTGTGGCCATTCCAGGATAATCATGGCAGTGTTTTGTTTTTTTGTCGGTCGTGAGGCCTGAACTCTGGGCCTGGGCACTGTCCCTCAGCTCTTCAGCTCAAGGCTAGCACTCTACCACTAGTGAGACCAGATCTCCAAAGAAGTCATAAAGTGAAAAGATTTGGATGTTGATTGCAGAGTGGAAGGTGACTGGAAATCACAAGTCTAATCCTGTTGCGCGCTTAGAGCTCTCTCCAGTCATTGGGCTTGCTGTGCTCCCCCAGCAGGGGGGCCAGGGATAGAATTCCGCATTTCCTATTCCTTCTCTGCTTCTTAACATTGGCCCCTTAAAAGGCCGGAGATGGGAGAGGGTGGCAGCCTTTTTCCTTTGACAGAATACAATGAATAAAGAAATGGATATTTTCTTAATGAATTTTTAAATAAATTTTTAAACTTATCTGATTAATAAGATTAATAAGCTCAGTAATTTTAATCAATTTGATGATCCATGTTTTATGTCTTCATTGCCATTGTCCTTTGGGGGTCAGAATCTCTTTAAAATTTTATGTTATACCAGGTCTGGTGGCTCACGCCTATAATCCTGGCTACTCAGGAGGCTGAGATCTGAGGATCACAGTTCAAAGCCAGCCCAGGCAGGAAAGTCCATGTGACTCTTATCTACAATTAACCACCAGAAAACCGGAAGTGGCGCTGTTGATCAAGTGGTAGAGTGTCGCCTTGAGCTGAAGAGCTGAGGGACAGTGCCCAGGCCCAGAGTTTAAACCCCACGACCAACAACAATAACAAAAATATGTCAGTTACTTTAGCATATATTAGGTGGACTTTTGTACATTTTAATGTTAGTGAAATTAAAATATGAAAATCCTTCTTTCTCATTTTCTTTTGTGCCAGTACTGGGGTTTGAATTCAGAGTTCTCACCTAGGCCTTTGCATTCATGACTGGTACTCTTCCACTTGAGCTAAACCTCCAGCTTTTTGCTAGTTAATTAGAGATGTCTCTTGAATTTGTCTGTCCATGCTGCCTTTGAACCTCAGTTCTCTAGATCTCAGCCTTCTGAGTAACTGGGATTACAGGCATGCACTGAAATCCTGCGTCTTGCTTGGTCTCTGTTACAATGTGATTCTGATTAATAAGATTTGGAAATTAAAGTTTGTAGTATAATGATACTTGCCCCCCATGCTTGCAAAATCAGTTCTCTTCAAGATTGAAATCTTTTATATAGATTATTTTATAGTCTATGAATTTATTTTAGAAGGAAAAACTCAAACATAATTAAGCAATGGAGGGCTGGGAAGTTGGCTCAGTGGTAAAGCGCTTGCCTTGCATGCCTGAGGCCCTGGGTTCGATTCCTCAGCACCACATAAGCAAAAAGAAAAGAGCTGGAAGTGGCGCTGTGGCTCAAGTGATAGAGCGCTAGCCTTGAGCTGAAGAGCTGAGGGACAGCGCCCAGGCCCAGAGTTCAGGCCCCGCGACCGGACCCAAAAACAAATAAATAACCACAACAAAATGGGCTGGAGGACTAGCTCAAGTGATACAGCACCTGCCAAGCAAATGTGAGGCCCTGGTTTTGAACCTTAGAAGCACAAAAAAAAGAAAGGAGAAAAAACATTTCCCCTAAAATCAGGAACAAGGCAAGGGTGTCCACTTCCCCCACTCCTCTTCAATATAGTTCAGAATTCCTAGCCAGAGCAATAAGGCAAGAAAAGAACATAAAGGGTTCACATAGGCAACGAAGAAAACAAGTATCCCTATTTGCAGATGACATGATCTTATATCTAAAGGACCAAAAAACCTCCATTCCCAAGCTCCTAGAGCTGATCAACCACTTTGGCAAAGTAGCAGGATACAAAATTAACCCACAAAAATCAGTAGTCTTTCCGAATGCCAACAGTGTACAAGCAGAAAGGGAAATCATGAAAACAACTCCATTTGCAATAGCCTAAAAAAAATGAAATAACTAGGTATCAACCTGGTCAAGGATGTAAAAGATGTTTATAGTGAAAACTATAAAAATCTGAAAAAAGAAATCAAAGGACACCAGGCAATGGAAGGGCCTTCCATGTACATGGATAGGCAGAATCAATATTGTGAAAATGGCCGTACTGTCAAAAATAATATACAAATTCAGTGCAATCCCCATCACAATCCCAATGGCATTCTTTACCGAGTTAGAGAAAATAAAACTTCATATGGAACAATGAAAGACCTAGAATAGCCAAAGCAATTCTAGACTTAAAAAAAAGAAGCAATGTAAGTGGTGTAACACCAGACTTCAAATGCTACCTCAGAGCCATAATATTAAAACAGCTTAGTATTGGGACAAATAGGCTCGAAGGCCAGGCGCTGGTGGCTCACCCCTATAATCGTAGCTACTCAGGAGGCTGAGATCTGAGAACCATGGTTCAAAGCCAGCCTGGGCAGGAAAGTCTGTGAGACTCTTATCTCCAATAAGCCATTAGAAAACCAGAAGTAAAGCTGTGCCTCAAGTGGTAGAGCATTAGCCTTGAGCTGAAGAGCTGAGGGACAGTGCACAGGCCCAGAGTTCAAGCCCCAAAACTGACAAAAAAAAAAAAAAGGCCCAAAGACAAATGGAATAGATTAGAAGACCCAGAAATAAAACCATACACTTCCAGTTATCTGATATTTGATAAGGGAGCCAAAGACATAGCAGTAGAAAAAAATAGCCTCTTCAATAATTGGTGTTGGGGAAACTGGGTATCCATAAAAGTGGATCCCTGTTTGTCACCATGCATCACTATCAATTCAAAGTGAATCAAAGACCTCAACATCAGACCCAAAACTTCGAAA